TATGGGTATATCAGGATCGAGTGGGGTTTCTTTCACTGCCTTCCAGCTTCTAGGATCCGCCGATGAGTGGTGGCGTACCTCTGAGTTAGACAGTCTGGACGAGGTTGCTTCGTTGACTTGGACCTAGTTTTTAGATCTATTCCTGAGAGAGTTTGTTCCTTAGAGCATCCGAGATGCATGGCGCGCCGAGTTTGAGCATTTGCGCCAGGGAGCTATAACTGTATCAGAGTATGCTGTTCGTTACACTAGCTTGGCTATGCATACACAAACCTTGGTTTCTACTATTCGTGAGAGGGTTCACCGATTTATTGGCGAGTTTGGCATATTTACCAGCATTAGAGAGGCCTATAGCGATGGATGTTCAGGCCTTAGCCAACTAGTTTGTGAGATTGGATCTTTCGGAGCCTAGTCGGGTTCTAGCTTGTGTGGTTTCTCGGTCTTTCTTATTTGATCGTATCAGGGAGAGGCAATATGATGATCCTCATTTACTTGTCCTCAAGGACAAGGTTGAGCATGGTGATGCCAGAGATGTGACTATTGGTGATGATGGGGTATTAAGGATGCAGGGTCGGATTTGTGTACCTAATGTTGATGGGCTTCAAGAGTTGATTCTAGAGGAGGCCCATAGTTCGCGGTATTCCATCCATCCGGGTGTCGTAATGATGTATCAGAATTTGAGGCAGCACTGCTGGTGGAGGCGGATGAAGAAAGATGTAGTTAGATTTGTAGCTCGGTGTCTCAACTGTCAGCAGGTGAAGTATGAGCACCATAGACCAGGTGGGTTGCTTCAGCAAATAGAGATTCCGGAGTAGAAGTAGGAGCGGATCACCATGGACTTTGTAGCTGGGCTCCCACGGACTCTGAGGAAGTTCGATTCTATTTGGGTGATTGTGGATCGGCTGACCAAGTCTGCTCATTTCATTCATTTGTGTACTACCTATTCTTCGGAGCGGTTAGCAGAGATTTATATCTAGGAGATTGTTTGTCTGCATGGTATTCTAGTATCCATCATTTCAGATAGAGGTACTCAATTCACTTCACGGTTTTGGAGGGTCGTTTAGCATGAGTTGGGCACTCGGGTGGAGTTGAGTACAACATTTCACCCTCAGACGGATGGACAGTCCGAGCGCACTATTCAGATTCTTAAGGATATGCTCTGTGCTTGTGTGATTGAGCTTGGAGGGTCTTGGGATCAGTTCTTGCCATTGGCGGAGTTTTCTTACAACAACAACTATCAATCCAGCATTCAGATGGCACCGTATGAGGCTTTATATAGTAGGTGGTGTAGATCCCCGGTGGGCTGGTTTGAGCTGGGTAAGGCTAGATTATTGGGCACAGACTTAGTTCAGGATGCTTTGGAGAAGGTTAAGGTGATTCATGATAGACTCCGTACAGCCCAGTCCAGACAGAAGAGTTACACAAACCAGATGGTTCGTGATGTTTCCTATATGGTTGGAGAGAGGGTTCTGCTTCGGGTTTTGCCTATGAACGGCATTATGAGATTTGGGAAGAAAGGGAAGTTGAGTTCGAGGTTTATTAGCCCTTTTGAGATATTGAGGTGTGTTGGGGGGTTGCTTATGAGCTTTCCTTACCTCCCAGCTTGGCAGGAGTTCATCCAGTATTTCATGTTTTGATGCTCCAGAGGTATCACGGTGATCCGTCACACGTGTTGGATTTCAGTTCAGTCCAGTTGGACAAGGATCTATCCTATGTTGAGGATCCAGTGGAAATATTGGACAAGCAGGTTAGAAAGCTGAGGTCAAAGAACATTACGTCAGTGAAGGTTCAGTGGCAGGGTCAGCCGATCCAGGAGGCGACCTGGGAGACCGAGCATGATATGCGCAGTCGTTACCCTCATCTTTTCACTACTTCAGGTAAGTCTCTATGCTCGTTCGAGGACGAACAAATGTTTAAGTATAGGAGGATGTGATGACCCGACCGGTCATCTTAAGAATTAATTCCCCGATACCCTATTAACTGCTTTCCCCAAGTTTATTTCTGCTATTTTTATCTGTCAGGATATTCGGTTTTGGGTTTTGGAGAGTTTTGGGACACTTAGTCCCTAAATGAGAGCTTAAGTGTTGGAAAGTTGTCGGTATTTGGAATAGTGTGAAAACAACCTCGGAATGGAAATCTGATGGTTCTGTTAGCTCCGTTGGGTGATTTTGGGCTTAGGGGCGTGTTCGGATTGTGTGTAGAGGTCCGTAGCTAAGTTAGGCTTGAAATGCCAAAAGTTGAATTTTTGAAGTTTTCGGTTCGATAGTGAGATTTTTATCCGAAGGTCAGAATGGAATTCTGAAGTTGGAGTAATTCCGTAGTGTTTAATATGACGTGTGTGTAAAATTTCAGGTCATTCGGACGAGGTTTGATAGACATTTTGATCGAAAGCATATTTTTAGAGTTTTTGGAATGCTTAGTCTTGAATCCGATGAAAAATAGGTGTTTTGATGTTGTTTTGAGCGTTCCGAAGGTTGGAACAAGTTTGAATAATGTTTTAGGATTGGTTGGCAGGTTTGGTTGAGGTCCCGAGGGCCTCGGGTGTGTTTTGGATGCTCAACGGGTCATTTTTGGACATAGAGGATTGCAAAAAATGTAGCAGGTCTCCAGTTCTGGTTTCCTTCTTCGCGTTTGCGAGTGGGGTCTCGCGTTCACAAAGAGGAGCTGGGGCTGGTGGAAGCTTAACTTTTCGCGCTTGCGAAGCTGAGAGGTCGTATGCCTACGTGTTCGCGAAGAGGGTCCCGTGTTCGCGTAGGAGGGAGAAGTTTGCTATCGCATTCGCGACAGGGGCATCACGTTCGCGATGGAGGAAATCTCGGCCAAGCAAAGTTGTGTTTCACAAATGCGAGGGTCCTTCCGCGTTCACGAAGAAGGATTTACTTGGGCAAATATAAAATTTCAAAGTCGAGGGTTTAGCCATTTTAATCAAAACTAGAGTTTGGAAGCTCGGATTTGAGCGAGATTTTGAGGGATTTTTAGAGATATCAATTGGGTAATGATTCCTTACTCCTTTTTGCTTGTCACCCATTAATCTTAAACATGAATTCATCATTTAATTTCGGAATATGTATGAAAATTAGGGGAAAGTTCTTAGACCAAAAATTTGAGTTTTGATTGGGGATTGACATTGGATTGGGATAATTTTGGCATGGTTAGACTCGTGAGAGTGTGAGGATTCTGGAAAGGTAAATTTTACCTGATTCGAAGATGTGGGCCCGAGGGGCATTTTGGTCATTTTACCTAATTTCGCGTATTAGCTTAGAATTAATTTGTATAATCAGTTACTTGAAATGTTATTTACATTATGCAATTGAATTGAATAGATTTGGACCATTTGGAGTCGAGTACTCGTGGCACACACGTGGTCTCGGGTTGATTATGAGCCGATTCGAGGTAAGTGGCTTGCCTAACCTTATATGGGGGACTTTCCCCTTAGGATTTGGTATATTTGATAATTGAAAGTGCCTTGTATGTGAGGTGACAGGTGCATACTTGAGTTAATTGTTGAAAATCCGATTTCTTTAAGTTATTTCAATGATGCCCATTTTTCCTGTTTTATACTACTTGCAAATTTAGCCTGTTGTTAGCTTAGAAAAAGCATGTTTAGTTGACTTGATTGCTTATTTGCTTAAACTGCCTAAATTGCATTACGTGAAGCATGTTAGGCTAGAATACCTGTTTTTACTTCGTACGAAAATTGAGCTTATTTGAGTATTTCCTTGTGTTGTTGCTGCGTGTTTTACTTTGGGACTACGGGACTGTATCCCGGGAGATCCCTCTGCATGTTTACTTTGGGACTACGGAATGATATTTTGGGAGATCCCCCTGCACACTTACATTGGAACTATGGGACTACACCGGGTAGATTCCCCCTGTACTGAGTATTTACCTTCGGGACTACGGATCAGTATTCTGGGAGATCCCCTCGCATTTTGAGTTGGACTACGGGATGGTATCCCGGGAGATCCACTGGATATTTATATTTGGGACTACAGGACGGTATCCTGGGAGATCCCCGGTTGTTTTCTTCTGTTGCTATGTATTTTTCTTCTGTGTTTACTTTGCCTCTAGTAGTTGTTGTTGTCTTCTTATTCGTGTTACTTTTGCTGTTGTATGTTTTATTCTGCCTTGTTCTATACTGTCGAACTTTATATTTTATTTAACCTCAGTAGGGCCCTGACCTTTCTCGTCACTACCCGACCGAAGTTAGGCTTGGCATTTACTGAGTACCGTTGTGGTGTACTCATGCCCTTTCTCCATATGTTGTTCATGTGGAGATCCATGTACCTCTACTCAGACCTACCATTCTTGAGGCGAGGCGATTCTACGGAGACTTCGAGCTATATCTGCCGCGTCCGCAGACCGAGGAGTCTCTCTCTCTATTCTATCTTGTACTAATAGCCCTTCTATCTTTACTGTTGATGTAGACATTCCGGAGTTAGAGCATTTTACTATGTTTCGTATTTTGTGATTCATGGGTTTCTGGGTTTTGGGAAAACTATATTATTTATGAGAGTTGGTACTGTGTAAGCCATGCGGCACTTTCAATGTTGTTTAATACACTATTTCTGTTTTAAATTGTTTTCTTTTCTTCCGCAAATTTGGTTTACATTCCGCATTTAGGCTTATCTAGTCGTAGAGATTAGGTGTCGTCATGACAATTCACAAAGGGAGAACCGGGGTTGTGACATAAGGTTTATACTAGGGTTGGGTCACAATCCTAGTAAGAATCTAGCTACTCATAATGGGAACTGAAGAAAATAAAGAAGAAAAGCTAATTAAACTCATAATCATAGATTAAAATGATGAAATATAATGTTTAAACACTAAAAATAATCACAAACTTCCTAAAATGGAAAAATATAATGGCTACAGCAACTTTTAATTTCCAAACTTGACCAAAAATTATGAAACTCGTTAATTTATAGTGGGCTAAAAATTGCTGATAAAAATTCTCCTGGGGGGGGGGGGGGGGGGGGGCAAATAATTTGAGCAGAAATGGGATGGATTTGATTTGGGCTGATTATGGGCCTCATTATGTGAAAGTAAGGAAGCTCTGTAATCTTGAGCTTTTTACTCCTAAAAGACTTGAAGCTCTTAGACCTATTAGAGAAGATGAAGTTACTGCTATGGTTGAAAACATTTTCAANGGGGGGGTTCTACGGCCGCATAATTCCATATGTGATCCGCAAATTTCTTCAGTTGGTAGGAGAGTGGATTCTGCAGCCGCACATTTTTGGATTGCGGCTGCGAAGCAACTTCTGTGGCCGTACAATTCCCGTGCGGTCCGCACTTCAGCAAGGCGTCAGGACTTAGTCTTCTGCATACTCTCTAGACTTGGAAGTACTTGTTAGTGCAATCCTGTTTTGCGGCCGCATAATTCATGTGTGGTACGCATATTTGTCAAATTCCTGTTGGGTTCTTTAGCTTGGGTTATGGTCGCAGATGGAATTCTGCGGTCCGCAATTTCTTCTACGACCACAGAAATCTTTCTGCGGACCACACTTCTTTGCCTTTGCGCTCTTTAATACCTTGTGCTTCGGAACACTCCTTTTTGAGTTGGATTTCATCATGGGAGATCAAACTTGTAACATTCTTACAATTTGCACATTTTTTTTAGTTTCGGGAGCGTAAATCAATATTTTAGGACTAAAACAAAAGCAAAAAAAGTGCCAATAAGTAGTCAAAATCCTCACTTATCAATCATGCCTACTATCCTGTTGTTATTATTGTTCTCCTGGCTATGACTCTATTAGACTACCATGACTAAGACTCCTAGGTCTAAAATACCTTTAGATTATTTCTGAACCATGTTTTATTTGGAAATTATGCTTAACTTTGGTGCACTATCTCTTAACCTGATTTTCTGGGAAGTATAACGTGTATGCTGCATATGCTTGTTGAGATTTTTGTATAATTCTGTTTGTATGCCTCTAATTTGGAAGCCTCTATTCCTTACGGCCTTAAGGGTTAGATTTCAAAGTTTCTTAATTGATCCAGTACCTAGTTTGTCACTCATATTATTAAGGCTATTTTGGTATTCAAACGGGTAAGCAAGGTAGTCGTTTGGGCCTGATATGTTGGGCCTGCTTTTGATACTGGAGGTTTGCAGTACACTGCCCGCACTTGGAGTTTGGGCCTATTGTCCGCGTGAAGTTCTAAGCCTATTTAAAGACCTAGATGCATTACTGGGTTATTCTATATTTGTAACATGGTCTGTAATATTTTGTAAAACTGAATGATGGGGAAATTAGTAATGGGGGGCTGGGGTATTCTAATTCTCGCATGAATGGGTAGAAACCTATCCATATGGTTTAATTGATATTTATTTAATGTGCTTTATTTTTATGCACTTATAGAAATTATGCATATAGGAACTTAAGCACTTCACTCGCTTTACATGTCATATTCCAGCATGCTGTCAGAAACATGTCTATAAGAACCTATGTGTTTCACTTGTTCACATGCTTACTTCTATGCACTATTAGATAGCATGCCTATAGGAATCAAACATCATTGATTATTGGCGTAATGACTTTCTGGCCACTTAAACTTGTACCAGAGTTTAAAGTCGATATACAAACTTATATTATTCCCATTTGAACACTCGAACTTGACCGACTGAGTACAAATAAATACATTTAGTAGTGCGTGTATATCAATTGTGATGACATGTACAACACGTCATATACTAGACTATTTATTACTTGACATGTGTTATTTGTGGGTCCTATTATTAAATACTAAATAAGCAAAAAAAAAAAGTCACAAATTAAAAAAAAAGAAAAAAGAAAGGGAGAAAAAGACCTGACATTTCCCTCCGTTCACCCACCTCTCTCTTCTTCTCCGTTCACCCACCTCCATTCCTTTCCTTAATTTTTTGTTTTTTTCCTTTTCTTCAGTGTTCTTTCTCTCTCTTATTTCTAAATCAAGTTTCGTTTGCTACTGAATTGCTTGTCATTAGAATCCTCATCACTATCTGCACAATCATATTATATTTTCCATCGGTATCATGTGCAGTTTTCTCTTTTTCAGTTTCATCCAATTGGTATTCAGCAACACCTATATATTAAAGAGTAGGGTAAAAAATTATTACGTTCCTTAAATATTTTGAAACGAAGACAAGAGCTTTCATTGAATGGAACAACGAACACAAACGTTTGTTTCCATAACAGCTTGGTCCCGATCACGATGTTAGTCTTAGTTGTTTGATTTGGTTGTTTATGTGTAAAAACTTTCGCATATGCGCATGACATAATATATAAAGGTAGATTATTTTCCTTTTCCATCTTCGATTAGGTTTTGCGTCCGAGAAATTTCTTGGGGGAGGACGACAATGGGGGAAAAGAACACGAGGGTGAAGGGAATTTTAATGGGGATGGGGAAGTGGGCCTGGTTTATTTTTTTCTTTTTAATTTGTATTTTTTTTGTTCTAGATTTTTTTAAATCAAAATTATTGTAGTCACGCGCGTAATTTTCGTGACTTGCACACACTTTGTCCACATCATCTCTGTCATTGCCATATGTGCATGGTCAACGGTCAAATAGGTTTATTAGTTACCGGATATGTGAGTTTAAGTATTCAAATGGGAATAATGTAAGCTTGTATATCGCCTTTAAAATTTGGTACAAGTTTAAGTGGCCAGGAAGCCATTACGCCTTGATTATTTTCTCAACTTTTGCAATTGCTGTGTGATTATTAGATAACATGCCTATAGGATCGTGTTAAGTAATTAAGATATGCTTCCACCGATACTCATCTAGATACCATGTCTATAGGGCCTTAATTGATTAACTAATTGGCTGCTTTCTTGTTCTTATCACACCGCCCTCCTAGACAACATGCCTATAGGAATAAGTATGATGAATTTGTATAGACAATCTGCCTATAGGATACTGCTACTCGCTTAGAAAGCATGCCAATAGGATAAAAATGAGTAATTTTGAGTTTTCCAATGGCTCCACTGCCGTAGGTGCAAATCACTTAGAGATCATGTCTATTGGCTTTTTATAACACTTATAATCTGTAATTTCAATAATCCGAAGAGCAGCATTGCCCATGAAATGTTCTTAAGCTGTGTGGTCACATAGAAGCCATGCATATAGGTTTTAAACGACTTTAATACATCTCGATTCTAAAACTGCCTACTGCAGAATCTAAAATCTGTTCGCATGCTTTTGTTGCTTATGTGTGGAGGTTAACTTGAGCCATTCATTTCTATTATGTGTAGTCCTACTTGTTTTAAATGTGCACTTAGTTTTATTATTTTGAGCACCCTAAGCAAAGTCTAGAACCGCCCAAATAGTAGGTACAAAGCCTCCTAGACCAAAGGCATAGGACGAGCAGTGCACGCCTAGGATACGGCCTATAATTGAACTAAAGCGCTTTAGGTAAGCAACTTTAATATAGTAATTGGTTAGCAAGAAATGATAGTTTATGCCAGTTGAATAATATGTGCAACCCCACCTTAAGGGAGTTGTGAAGTATTATTTATGTTGCATGGGGTGATCCTTTAGGCTAGAAAACTTAGGATCACCCTATATGTTTGTTACTCGTGCCTTTGTTTCTTTGAACTTACAACAAATTAGGTTGTACCTTGTAACCTCCAGAGACTTGTACTGATCATTTATTCATATGTAGTCTAATTCCTTCATATGTGAAATCTTCTTTACACTTGTTTTATATCGTAGTTGAATATTTGAATTCCCTATCTTCCTTCAACTTACATGATCACATAGGACAACTATAATCCAATAATCCCACATAGCAAAATTTTTTGCTGGGACCTACAATTGTGGACTTCGGAGAATACTAATACTTTCTTTTCGAGGTAATTTGAGCCCTTGACCGATCTTTGGTGACACAGACTAGTTAAAACAGAGTTATTTGCAAATAAGTGCCTAATGCACCATAAAATCGTTTGGTGGCGACCCTTATCTTTTAATACCCATTTAAAAGTTTTGTCATACATCAAAACTCACTTTCGTGAGAAAACGGGACGCGACAACATGCAACTATGCTGGGCATATACTTAGGCTCTTACCATAATAAAGTTTCGCTTAAGTGGATTAACGGGTTATTTGATGACATGTACATCCCCTCCCTGTCACACCTCATTTTTCCCAAGATAGGATAGAGAATTTTTCAATTAAAGTAAAATTATCGAAATTGAATTATTTATTCAATTCAGAGTCACCATTTGGAATAATTATGGTGTCCCAAGTCACCAGTTTATTTTAAATCTCAAATCGAGAAAATTTGACTCGGTTTTAAGTCTACGAAACCAGATGTCATGACCCTAAAACTGACCCGCTCGTGATGGTGCCTATCTGGAAACTAGGCCAGCCGACACAATTTCCGAATTAACCATTATTTAATAAAAGTCATTTTTAAGCCTTTAATTAATAAAATATCTCATAATGTAAGTCTAAATGAATAGTGCGAAGTAAATACACAAGCCTGACATCGGGGTGTCACAAGTCACGAGCATCTACTAAGGTTTGAATACAACGAAGAGTCTGAAAATATATTAAAAATAGTCTAAGGAAGACAAGAGGAAGAATAGCAGGGTTGCGAACGTCGGACAATTACCTTGATAACTCCGATGACTCTGTCACTGAGCAATCAACACCCAATACCGGGTTCAGAAATACCTGAATCTGCACACAAGGTGCAGGGAGTAATGTGAGTATGCCAACTCAGTAAGTAATAAAAGTAAATAAAAGCTGAGCAGTAAGAAAACACGTAAACCATATCATAACGCTACATCAAATGCAGTACATTTCCAAAACAGTATAGAAATCATTTACTTCATGAATGAAGCTTAGTTTCAGTAAAACCTTTTAAAACAACTTTCAATAGTTTCAAACGAGTGATAAAAATAGTGAGTAAAAAATGATAGAAAATGTAAACAGTCTCTCGGGCAAAACATGTATCATAAACTACCCATCAGGCATAATATCATCAGAACCAGCCCCTCGGGCTATCTCACAATCACTCGTACTCTGCCCTTCTGGCATAACATGAATCAAGAATAGCCCCTCGGGCAAAACATGGATCAATAACAGCCCTTCGGGCAACAATATGAAACAACAACACCCCTCGGGCTACATCATATCATCCACACTAGGCACCCTGTGCTCACTAGAGGTGTATAGACTCCTAGAGGGGCTCCCACAGCCCAAGAACAATAACAAGCCATGTCGTGGCATAATCAAGCAGGCCCTCGGCCTTATAACAAGCCGCCTCGTGGCATAACAAATTAGGCCCTCAGCCTCATAATCATGAATCGGTACAACACTGCTGCGGTGCACAACCCGATCCCATAATATCCTCACAACACAGGCCCTCAGC